ATAAAATACCTTGAGAGTCCTTTGAGTGAATCCCCTTCACTTCTTTTATTTCCTTATCTATTTTCTAGAGGGGTTAACCTCCTTTTATAGAAAATACATTTATTTAATAATTCTCACATTCATGGTTTATAGGAGTTGAGATCTAAGTGTAATTCCTGCCTTAATTCCCTTAAGTGTATCTAATTAGGATTAACAAGTTTGATAACTTGTTAATCCTATGGAATGAGCTAATTCGTCATTAGTTCACATGTGCACTTGAGATAATCCTAAAAATATTTTAGAGTCTAGAATTTTATAATTATATATGAAAATAGATTTTGAGATAATCCTAAGAATATTTTTTATCAAAATTACATATATTTTTTTTTAACATAACCAAAATTACATGTTATGATAAAATTTGAAGGTGCGCCTTAATTGGATTGTTTAAAGTTGCAAAACCTTATAAAAACCACACCCTAAATTATATGTTGTGGAGCATAACGAGGACTGTAGACTTGTCTTTTTCATTGGATTGTTTAAAGTTGCAAAACCTTACAGAAACCACACCCTAAATTATAGGTTGTGGAGCATAACGAGGACTGTAGACCTGTCTTTTTCATATGAATACATTAGAATGATGGACCGGCTGTCTCCACATGGAATCTTGTCAAAATATTTTACATTGAAACAATGTTCAAAAAAATATATTTTACATTGACAGCCCATTGTTGGAAGGCAAAGGGTTGGAGAAAACTGTGATCTCCGGCTATAGCCACTGCCAGATAATGCCGTTGACGGACAGCGCCGGAAAAAACCATACCGTGCAGCAATAGAAATGCCAGACAGGTGCGGAAAAAACAACAAAATATTAGTGTGGCAACTGATTGGATTGAAAAAATGTGTATGAAAAAATTGGATATATTTAAATTTTAAATTTTGAAAAAAATCCTATTTTTATAAAAATATTGTATTATAAAATTAGAGTATATAAATATCTAAAATTTCTTGAATACAATTATAAAATGTTATATAGTGTGAGTACCCTAATATAACCAATAAGTAATAATATAATTAAGTGAATCAATTTAAATATCTAATAATTATCCTCTGGTTTTTGCCCTCTCTGTCTAATTTCTGCCCCCGCTCACTCTAGTTTCTGTCATGAAAGTCTCTTATTTAAGACTATTGAAGAAGATCATTGTGACTACGAGCCAAAGGGTTTATCTCACTCTTCAAACTCTTCGCTCTACCCAACTTCCCATTTTTACAGAGAACAATTAAAAGTACCATACACCACTAGGTTGGGCTCAGTTCCTTGGTTTTTCATCAAGTGCAAGAACCTGAACCTATAAGAAACTCTATTTGTTGTACACAAGCCCTTCATCAATATACCAAATGTGTACTCATCAACACAAGTTCTAGATTTGACCATCTTTTGGGTGTGTGTGGTCATTAAAGACTTTATGAGTACTTGTAAATGAATTTATACAGTGAAACATGAATTTAGTGGGAGTGTAGCCTCGTGTAGACCATATTAAGCAGACTATGATCGTTGATACCGGACTGCGTCTGGTTGGCAAAATCCCATGTTACATGGGCATAGAAAACAAACTGATAAGGGGTATAATGTGTTGATGAGGTCGGAGTATACCTGGAAGAGTGAGCCTAGGGATTGTATGACCCTTGTGTATGATGGAGGCCTTCAGAGACAGGATCAAAACCTCAGATGCGTATCATCACACGACATGCACATTGATAGCCGTTTTCGGGAAAACGAACCACCTTTTAGGGTGAAGCGTTTGCATGTACCAAAGATAGCCCCTATACACAATCGAGTAATGGATTACATCAGGTCTAAGTGTCATTGGTTTCGTCTCTAGGGGAGAACTTGAAATCCATAGATTGAGACTACGACTCTTTGCCCATTGGCTAGACTTTGATGATCCACTAATGATCCCCTGCATGAACTATGCGTCATGGGAAAAACTGGATTGGTTTGAGAAAGCAAGCATGGACCGTGATCCACAGTAGAGGGTGGAGTGCCCCAGTGTATATTTATTTCTAGACTATATGGATCATTTTTCTATCAAAGTATTTAACTATATTTGTTTTAATGATATATGACTTTTAGAATTGTTATTTGAATTTTTCTAAATATCTGAATATTTTCTTTGTCAAATTTGGATTTGTAAAAACAAAGATATTGATTTTACATTGATTTAATTATTCAAATATGATTTTATGAATTTTTTAAAATAATAATATTTATTTAATATTGTTATATTGCTTGGGAGGCCTGATAATATAAATGGGCCCACCATGACAATTTGGGTGGGGGGCCACTACGTGCCATCTCCACTGGCTCTTACAGCAAGCAGCAATAGCTACCAGTACAACTCTGTAAGTACAACAATAGCAATCGTTCAGTCTGGAGGACCTCACTAGTTTTGTCTATCAGTACAGCTCTTAGAATCACTAGTACTAGTAAGCTAGCTACCAGTATAGAGCTACCAGTACTACTCGCTTTGTAAGTCCACTAGCTATAAGGTGGCGCGCCCCACCTTGAGGGCTTTCTAATTTTGAAGAGCTCAAGCTCTTAGCTTGAGGTTTAAGTAATTTGTATTTTGGAGAGGAACTTTTGAATCAAATTTTAGTATGTGTTAGGAGGCTTGAGCATAAAATAAAAAAGCACAATATTATCATATATTAATTTTTTATTTGAATTAGTTGATAGGAAAATGGTTTAGAAAGTGGGGGATAATGATTCTAGCACTTTCTATATGATCTTGATGGTCTATCAATAGAATTGACGACTCATATCTTTTACCTCACAAGTCACCCAAGATCAATTGTGCATATTTAATATCACATGAAGAGACAAGCCATAGAAAACTTAAAAAAATGCTAAAACCATTCAAGCACTATAAAAATGAGAGTACTCTACCCAAATCTCTACACCTATACTTTATGTCTCTCTCTCACATACCCAACTAGGGGGCACACCCCACTCTTAGAATATCTCTCTCTTGGAAATTTTCTTTCTCTCTCTGTAAACTATGGGGCATGTCCCACTCTCTTGCTCTCATGGAGTTCTCTCATTTCTCCCATCTCTCATCTTGTGTTGGGGCTAAGGTTTAGGGTGTAGTAAAAGAAACTCTATCTCTCTCAACTGTGATTGAAAAGGGGTTCATGTTCTATTAGTTTGGTTTGACCTAAACTTACTTTCTCAGTTGAGATTGAAGGCTGACCATTGATCGGGTGCCGTCGAAAGATAATAATGTGGTGTGAGTGTAAAAAACAGATTGAGTAATCTTTCGTACCCTCTTTTGTTTCTTGCATATTTATTTTATTGTATCTTTTGTTATTCCCAAACATAGTTTGTGTCTATCTTTTATATGGCATCAAGTTTTGAGATCTTAGATTTATTTCTTTTATTTTATTTGAAGTTGATTAATTGTAAAAGAACTACTTGCGAGTGATCTAAGCCGTAATATATATATATATATATATATATATAAAAGAATATATACTCTGACTAGATTACACAAGTCATTTCACTTTTGCATGTAAAAATCCTTGGCCACATGTACATTCTCCCTCACGGAGACATTGAGGATTGAGTTGTACACCCATGGATATCAATAGAAGACAGAGAGATATTTATATATTTTGATCACCTTGTAACTTCATTGATTTATAGTTAATAAAAGTATGTGTTGATGCTCAAAGACTGAGAGAGACCCATCCATTGAGCATTACTTGATTCTGTCTATAATCAATGTTAATTAAAATCATAAATAAAAGAATTACTTCTAAAAATCACAAAAAAAACGCATTGTTCAACATTTCAACAAATCCAAATCAGAAATAAAATAATGTTTAATACAAAAAATATGAATTTTACATAGTTATTTTCCACAATAGCTATTGAGTTTACGACCATATTCAATGTAAAAGTCATTCATTCTTTATTTTTATTTTAAAAAAAACCATACTTTTTGTATGAAGCCACAACTTTGAAGAAGAATACTGGGGTAAAGTTTATCTTTCACTAGATAAACCTAGCAGAGCCAGGATAAACCCAATATTTGGGGAAACAAATTCTTGGGCACGGAATGTATTTTTTTTGGAAGATAATAACACGACTTTTTAGGTTAGATAATAATAGAAATTTCAAGAAAAGGAAAAAAGGGTATAGCTTTCAAAAACAAACTTTTTTGCAAGCAATAAAAAGAAAGTTCTATTTTGAAAAAGTGAATATAACACGATACTTTATGTTCGATAAAAATACAGATTTCAAAAGAAAAAGAAAAAGTTCAGATGGTTCTCGAAAAGAAACTTTTTTGCAAGCAATAAAATGAATTTTTTTTTAACCGTATATTGAAAAAGTGAATATAATACGATTTTATAGGTTAGATAAAAAAGAAATTTGAAAGAAAGGAAAAAGGTATATAGCTTTCAGCAAGAAATTTTTTTACAAGCAATAAAAGGAAAGTATTTTTTATACTGAATTTTTTAAAAACGTGAATTTAACTTGTTTTAAGTGTTTTTCTCAAAATATCATTTTTTCCCCTATTTTTTAAAATACATGGTTTTTATGAATCCATGTAGAAATGAGTCACATCTTAAAAATCTATTTTTAAGATGAATTTTTATCTGGTTTTAGGGACATAAAATCTTTAATATGTTAGAGATCATGAATATGAAAAAAATAAATAAATTTTGAAAAGTTAAAAATAATAATTTTATTAAGAAAAAATTTCAACTATTAGTTTCAATTATTTTCGACCACCTATTTACATCCATCTTTAAGATAGATGCTTTAGACCTTGGGACCGCAGACTTAGAAATGTGGTCCATGCCGCGTGAAACAAATTTCCTTTTAAAATGACACATTTTTAAGCGTATAACAAAAAAAAAAAAAGAAGAAGGCGATTTAATAAAAAATAAATAAAAACGAGTTTATTGTTCACTCTGAATCCTACGCATTATATTATAAGAGAGACTCAAGACCGCCACCCACTCCCCGAGGAGTTTGTTGTTCACTCTGAATCCTACCAATTATATTACAAGAGAGACACAACACCACCAACTCTACGATACAAAGATTTTGTATGAAGACGACACAATTGTCAATTGTTTTATTTTAACGTGTTTTTACCGATAAAATTATTTATATCAATTGAGTATTATATTTATCTCTTCCCCATCTACCAACCATGTGCCCCTTCCCATCTTCCTCACCTCACCTCCAAAAATAAACAGGAAAGAAGAAACCTCTCTCTCACATGGAGGCTCCCCCAAAGCAGCACTTCCTGTTGATGCCATGGCTGGCCATGGGCCACATCCTCCCCTTCTTCCAATTAGCGAAGCGCCTCGCCGACGCCGGAATCTCCATCACCTTTCTCACTCCTCCCTCCACTCCACCTCTCTCCTCCCTCTCTCTCTTCCACCCGTCCCTGGCCTCCCCCCTGAAGCCGCCACCACTTACGACCTCCCCCTCCACCTCCACACCCACACCCACCTAAAAACCGCCCTCCAGCCCTACTTTCACACTCTTATCCCCAAACGTAGTCGTCCATGATTTCAACCTCTACTGGCTCCCCAAAACCGCCGCCGAATTCGGTGTCCCTTCAGTCTTCTTCAGCATCTTCACCGCCTCTGTGGCTGCCTACTTCCTCTCGCATACTCGCAAAGAAGGGAATCCTCACGTACCAACCGCTGCTGAGATCACAACTCCGCCACCGGGTTTCCCACCTTCTGCCCTCCACCTCTACCCCTTCGAGGCCGAGCAAATCATTCACGCTTACACCCTCCTCGAGTCGAATGCCACCATGGCCCACCGCTTCCTTCAGAATATCTCCGATTCCGATATGGTCATATTCCGATCATGCAACGAGATGGAGGGGAAGTTTTTAGAGTTCTTGGAGAAACAGCTTGGAAATGGTTACAAAGAAAATAGACGTGAACATGAATACAACAAGTACAAAAATATATTTACCGTTGGCATCCAAGCTCCTCGGCCAGGAGATGAGCCACCACTGGTTAGTGGTGGTGAGGGAGGAGCCATGAAACCCTGGGTTGAAGCTCTAAAATGGCTGGATGGGCAGCCAGATAGATCAGTGACATATGTGGCCTTTGGCAGTGATTTTGTGCTTACAGCAGCCCAGATAGAGGCAGTCGCACTCGGGCTCGAGGCGTCAGGCGCCCCCTTCCTCTGGATCAAACGGACCCCTCGACATGTGGAGCTGGGGGCCGGTGATGGGTTGCCGGACAGGTTCGAGGACCGGATCGAGGGGAGAGGGCTGGTGGTCACGGAGTGGATCCCTCAGATGAAGGTCCTGGAGCACCCTGCGGTCGGGGTGTTCTTCTCACACGGAGGAATAAGCTCGTCGATCGAGGGGCTCGCGTCGGGGCAGAGGCTCGTGGCCCTCCCGATACAGCTCGACCAAGGGATCAATACGCGGCTCGTGGCGGAGGAGTTGAAAGTGGTGGTGGAGGTCCGGAGGACAAACTTGGAGGACGGAAGTGTCAGCGCAGAGAACGTGTGCGAGGCGATACGGAGGGCTGTGTCGGAGGGAGATGACACAGAGACATGGCGCAATGCCAAGGATCTCCAGGAACGTGTAGTCCACAAGTTGGAGCTTGAGGACCAATATGTGCAGGAGTTTATCGACCGTGTGGCCTTTTGACACGTGAAAAGGATCTCCCTCTACATGAGCAGTCATAACGAACCTTTTTTTTGTTTTTTATGTTTGACATATAAGTCGCAAGGACCATTCTTGGTTTGCTTGTGTTTCTCTTTTTATTATTTCCTTTCCTAGAGTTGGTCTTTACCGTGCTTTCCATTGATTTCTCGCTAGGCTCTCTCCGGGTGGTGGCATGATTTACAAATGCATTCATTTGTTAGGAATATGATGAGAATGATATAAGAGATGGTTGGCTATTAAAAAAAAAAAAACCGAAAAAAAGAAAAGAGGAAGTGATTTGTGAATTATTTAAGAGCCGATGGGGCATAATTGGGTTAGGTCGATGCAGAAACAGACCTACTGGGTCAAGGTCAAGTGCAACCAAATTAAATCCGTTAAGCCGAGTTATATATGTGGTGATTTCACTTACGTTCATCACTGTCCAAAGTTCATCGCGCGGTCACGAATATTCGATAATTTTTTATTTTTTATTTTTTCTATAAATCAAAATGACTTGAAATTTGGAGCGTTTGTTCATCAAAAATAGGGAAATCTACAAAATAATATTTTGTATGAAAAAATTAGCCAAAATACCTCCGTCATTATTCAGGGGTATTTTGGTTAAGTTTTTTTCAAGAATATTTTTTTTTTTTATATTTTTATTAGACGCGTCTCACTAAGATGTACATACGCTCTATATTTCAGATCATATCCTGGCTTGAGGCATCCATTCCTCGAATATGAGCCCTCTCCCTTGAACCCGTTCTAGAAAACCATTTGGCAACTTTTCAAAGACCCCATGGATGGAGGCTCTCCTAACCCCGAGGAAGGGGAAACCGGACTCCTCGAGCCCAATTGCGACTGCATTTGTTTGGGCTTGATTTAGTCGGCATTCAGTTCCGAACGCCACATAAGTAACAGACTTGATTGGTTGTTTGTCCAACCGATCAATACATTTAACGAACTCCCGGCTACTCCCACTGTCCATTTGAGCCGCATCCCCTAGCCTAGGGGGAAGGAACCCAATGGGCAAAAACTTCTTAACCCCGAAATAATTATAATTTTGATACTCTTTTTGTATGTAATCAATAAACTTCTTCTCTAGCTCATAGCACGATCGGATGATGACCATGTTGCTTCTAAAAAGGCGTTCAGCGCCGGGGATTTCAGGCTCAGGAAATGTATAAGCCCCTTCCAGTTGTTTGGGTGGAAGTAAACAGCCGAGGAGGGGAAACCCGGCGGAGATGAAGTGAGGTCTGCTGCGGTTGGAGGAAAGGATTTTCCGGTGACACGATGGGGGACGATGAGGTAGGCCAATGAGGCAGCATTGAAGATGCTAAAATACACGGTGGGGATGCCAAACGTGGTGGCGATTTCAGGGAGCCAATAGGAGGTGAAATCGTGGATAATTAATTTTGGAGAGAGCTTGGGGAGGAGGGTTTGGAAGAGGGGTTGGAGAGCGTCGAAGGCGGCTCTGAGGGGGATGTGGAAGTCGGATGTGGTGGTGGCTTCGGGGAGTTCGGGGATCAAAGGGAGAGAGAGGGGGTGGAAAGAGATGAGAGAGAGGTGGTGAGGGAGATGGAGAGGAGGGAGGCGGGGGAAGACAGAGGAAGGAGTGAGAAAGGTGACTGAGATTCCGGCATCTGCGAGACGTTTTGCGAGTTGGAAGAAGGGGATTATGTGGCCAAAGGCAGGCCAAGGGATGAGAAGGAAGTGATGTTTGGGAAGAGCTTCCATCTGAGTGAAGTGGAAGATAATGGATTCGACTTCAAACCAAAAGCAAGAGTGTGAGTGTGTGTGTGTGTGTGAGAGAGAGAGAGAGAGGTGGGGATTTATGGATGCAGCTGTGGACCAGAGAGGAACTGGAGAATCATACAACTGCTAATAACAAACCCCAAGAGCTCCAATGGCAATATGTAGAATATTTTGATAAGATTCGATGTGTCCCCTGTGGAGACAGCAGGTCCACCATTCCAATGCATTCACCAAAACAATATGGTGAAGTTTATTAGTCCACATTAATGCTCTACCATAGTTTATTAGTCCACATTAATGCTCTACCATATATAATCATTTGCACTCGCATGATGGGTACATGTTATTCCTTAGGGCATTTTGTGAAAGATATTAACATGTTAATTATTTGCCCATCATGATTTGATTTTAAAACTGTGATTTGGTTTTAAAACAACATAATAGTAGTTCATTTCCTTCAAAATGAACTAAATTTGAGCCAAAATAGTTGTGAATCGAAGATAAAATCCGCAAAATGGCGGATCTGTTAAAACAGTGGGGGAAAAAAAAAAAAAAGGCCCCAAATTTAATGGAAAAAAATTTCGATAAATTTTTCATTTGTGGATCACACTCCCAAATTTCTAGATTTGAAGACCTTATGATTTAGGGAACATATTCCACAAATTTAATGAACAAGCACCGTTATAAGTGGGGATTGAGATCCATGTGCCATGTGCTCATTTGATCAAGAGTCCAAGCAAAGGGAGCGGGATCCCATAAATATATACATATATATAAAAGCTAGTCTGATAGTACTTGAATTTTATTTTATTTTCTACAAATCAAAATCACTTGAAATTTTAGGCGTATATTCATCAAAAATAGGTGAATCTTCAAAAAATATCAAAAAAATATTTTACAATAAATAAATTGATCAAAATACCTTTGAAAAGTTTTGGGGGGTATTTTGGTTTTGTTTCACAAATACTTTCTTTTTATATTTTTATTAGGTGCTGAGAAGAACGCATGCCTAAAATTTCAATATATGGAAAAAGTTGGGGTTAGGCCACTAGCTCATATGAACATATGAGCCCAACGGCCTAGATTGATTCTAGGCCGATCTGACGATTATGGATGTCTGCTTGTGTTTGAATTTTAGTTTTCTTTTTACAAATTCAAATCACTTGAAATTTTAGGCGTGTGTTCATCAAAAATGGGTGAATCTTCAAAAAATATCAAAAAAAATATTTTACATGAAATAAATTGATAAAAATACCCCCGAAAGGTTTTAGGGGGTATTTTAGTCATTTTATTTTTGACGAATAATTTTTTATATATTTTTATTAGGTGCGCCTTGATGAGAAGAACACACACCTAAACTTTCAAGTGATTTGGATTTGTAAAAAAAAATTACAAACACTACCTGACATCCGTGATCGTCAGATCAGCCCAGAATCAATCTGGGCTGTTTGGTTCATATGTTCATATGAGCTAGTGGGCTAATCTCATATTTCCCTATATATATATATATCACTTTCAGTATAAATTATTTCTTGATTTTGTTCATTTCTGACGGTCCATTGTCTTGTATTGATGAGAATTCTATTTTTGGTTTCATCATCAATGGATTAGATATCCTATTTCCAATAAAAAATGATTTATTAGATAGAGTAGCCAATGCTTGTATCTTTCCAAATTTGACATGAAATCAGGATATTGGCAAATACAAATTCAAGAAAAAGATAAATATAAAACAACATTTAATGTATCTTTTGGACAATACGAATGGAATGTAATGCCATTTGGCCTAAAAAATGTTCC